AACTTTTAATCTATCGGAACAGATAGATTAAGATACGTCGATTAAACAAATTAAATAAAATTTTTTCTAATTTTCTCAAAAACGAATCGACAGATTTTAAAAAAATCAAACGTCAAAATAAAGAACTTCGACCTTTCAAACAAACTATTACTCGATACCACCTGTCATTTAAAATTTGTAAGGGAATGACCATGGGGGGCAGAGACTGAAGTAGTTTTCGGTTAAAATGTTGTCCCCATTGACAACTCTTTTGACGTTTTTTCCTTTAATTAGTGGTTTTCGATAAATACGTGGTGCGAAGTCTTCAAATGAACACCCTGTATACCTGAAATGTGTGCGAGCGTGGGCCATGCTTGGCATGGGACTAAACACTCCTGTCACTCCCCTCTACGGCTTCTAATGATCTCGAACCCGAACTCGAACTATTGTAGACATAACGGTCATTCCGCTTTCAAAAATTCCAGTATAGTATTATATTTCAGAACACATTATTTCATTTGAATGTTTCTAATAATACTATCAAGGAATAATAAAGTCTCTGTTTAAACAATCAAATATATTTTATTTTATTTATTTATTTTATTTTATTTTTGCCTTTATTTTTGAGTGGGCGGAGTTTCAGCCAAGGCTGCTCTACCAACCCAACCCACTATACATTTACAAATATCCATGCCCGAACCCGGATTCGAACCAGGGACCCTAGCACCACAGTTCAGCTTTAACTGAACTGCGCCACACGGGCCGGCAATATAATATAGTTTGTTTTGTATTTTTTCCCGTAGAATCGAATGCTGAAATCAGTTTTTGACAAATTTCCAAAATTTAAACAAATAATCAACATTTACTAGAAAATTCAATGTTACTGAAGCCGTTTTTGGATTTTTTTGTTTCTTCAGCTTTTTCTTCAACAAGTACTATAATTTTTTTAATTTCATGAACAAGTACCTATAGATAAAAACGATGAAAATGAGACCAAATAGAACTCCCTACGATAAATCTCTCTCTTCATTTGAAAAAAAAGTTTTTGCGGAAAAAAAAGGAATATAATAATAATAATATTTAATATAATATATATTATATATATATAATAATATATTTCGGAAACCTCGAAATTTTGTATATTGAAAAAACTTATTACTTATTTGAAACTTAAAAAAGTATGGGTACTTCAACCAGGTTTCGTTAAAATAAAATTATTTTTGCAGAAATGAACAATAAAAAACAAAAAATTCGTTAAGCCGCTTGTGAGCAAAAGGCGAGGGGTGCACTTTTCGTTTCTTCGATTTTAATAGCCCTTTTGGACATGTCATGCCCAACGAGAATACAAATATGAAATAATTTTTAATTTCTGACTCCTTAAGACAGTGGTTGGCCATCTGGTACACCTTCAAGCTATAGGCTACATACATATTGCAAAAAATTCCAGGATTCTATGATCATTCTCCTAAAAGTAGTTCAAAACCGCAAGAAGCGGGTTCGGACGGACGGACAGATGGACGGACGGAAAAACGCAATTTGTTCAAATCTTAAAAAATGCGTTAAAAAATATACAATTATCAAATCAAGGACAATTGTATTTTTTAGGGTATTTTTTTAACAATAAGGAAAAAGTGGTATTGCTACCTTAAAGGTGTGCCGGAAGGCCATCAAATTTCGCTGGGGGGAGGGGGGTACGAATTATTTCCTGAGATGCTGTTTTTGAAAGTATAACGTGGACACGTTCTACCCTTCGAGGTATTCATTAGAAATATCTCATCGAAATAAATTGTTTGTACGCACTATAACTTTTCCCCGCGACCCTTTTTGAGATCAGTGAATAACGGGGCCTGAAGGGTGGGGGTCGAAATTATTTTTATCTTTCATGGTATTTTATTTTATTTTATTTTATTTATTGTTACAAACTACAAAGGGCACAGCCCTAATTACGTAGCAGGTATCTATTATCTATTAATTAAGGGTTGCTGAATAATAAGTATATAATCTAATAATGACATTCAACTAAAAAATGCTACAAACTTTCACCTACAAAAAATTAAAAAAAATATGATACTGTTGGAGTGTAATTAAAGGTCTCAACGAAAAGAAGCGATTTGCACTGCTCTTCTTTCTGACCCCTTATCAAAATAGGGTTTTGGAGGGGGGGGGGGTGAAACTGGTTTTTATCCTTCATGGTACTCTCATGAAAGGTCTCAACGAAAGGAATTAATTTCTACCAACCATAGTCCTCCTGGACCCTTTATCGGGATCGGAAATATTCCCTTAAAGAAGAGGGTACTCACAAAGGACAATTGGGACGTCTGGAAGAAATATATTGCTGTGTTTATTTCGTGTTTCCGGATGGAATTTTCGGAAATCTTAATTAAGATGGACAAGGGCGGTCTCCTTTTTGTGTAATTAAAATTTATAATTAAATTAATTTGTCGTTGATCTATGTAACGGAATGGGGATTATTTTGTCATACGAGAAAAGGGTCAAGTTTCAACGTGACTCAGTTTGAAATTGAGTTTTCTTGCTTGGAACGCCCTTGTCTGCACTAGTAGAGGATGCTACGATTACCAGGTCGTTTGAGTAAAGTGTAATTTGTGTTCATTGAAAATTGTAATTTTTGTGTACTGTGTACGGATACCTTTTATTTGGATATTCCAATTCCCAGATAAGTAATGTAAGAGTAGTTAAGTCATAATTTTAGTCTTTTTGTAACGATTGTTTGTGTTTTGTATCTTTTTTCCTTTTGTGTGTTACGATTAAACCACACTTTTGTAATTTTCTCATTAATTTCCGCGTGTTTCATTCACAACGACTTCATTGCTAATTTACCTGTGTTTTGATTGGATGCTTGCCCGTAAAAGTGATCTTTTTTGGCCGAAGCTGCTGTTTGCGGCCGAGGCGGTAGCCGAGGCCGCAATTCAGATGAGGCCTAACAAATCACTTTTGGCCAAGGTGCACACAACATTTTTTAGGCGATCATCAAAAAAGAATTCAAAAATTTGCTCATAAACATATTTTTTCTGAAAATCATAGTTATCTTAGATAATTAAAAACAAAGCATTTCCTGTCATATGTAATTATAATTAGCATCTTTGCGTGTGTTTTGTGCGTATCAAAATGGGCGATAGCGACAGTTCAGATACCCCAAATGAAATTTTGGAAGCTGCAAGCGTTGCGACCCTAAGTCATATAGGTATGATATAAGAGCAGGCGTTTGAGAGTAAAAGTACAATCACAACTTTCTCCGTTGCACAAGATTTTAATAATGTCAAATGCAATAGGTCCTTCGTAACTGTGGCTTCCAAGACCTTATAGTTAACATGCTGTACAATTATTAGAAACCTGATTACCTACTTTGATGGTAGGTATAGGTAGCTACTTGTGTTCTCAGTTAATTGCTGGTGATTCTTCGTATAATAATGTAAGCAATAACATCTTCCTCATGTTTTGGTTCTACACTTCAAAAAGGTCTGCAAGCAGCAAAGATTGAAACGTCAAACTATCATTTTAAATGTGAACATTGTGATTATGCAAAATAGTGTGAAACATTCCTACAAGTCCGAAAATGAAAAAAAACACACGTGGATGGCCCTATCCTTGATGGGGCTAGACCAGATAGACGCTTTGTATCAAACAGATTACTGTTTCTCACACATCAGTTTCAAATAAGTACAGTTTGACAGATGTGTACAATAAAGTAAAGTTTGACAGAAGCGTACAATAAAGTGAAACTTTATGGCCGCAAAAGCGACCACAAAATCAACGTTTTTGTGATGATAGCCTAAAAAAGAATAATAAGCCGACAAATAACCACTTCTTTTATTTTCTCAAAGTTTTTTTTTTATTTTCGTCTTTGAGCGTAACAAGAGTTATGATATAAATGCAAATTCTACTAGCTGAATTCTAATTTTTTAGATCGAGTTGAATGTTATTATCAAAAAACGAAGAGAAGACTTTTCATTGAGTTAATTGCCCAATTGTGTATGTACGAACGAAATTTTAACGAAAATAAAAAAACTAAAGGCGCCATAAATTGATGATTTATTAAAACTGGCGCTTGAGTAGGATCTTGTTGCTAATGAGTAAAGTGTCGCTAATTAGTAAAAGGGCTCATTTTATTATTTAATGTCGTCAGTGTATAGCTGCTTTTCATCAAGTACAAAAAACCTGATCGATAATTGACTCAAACCTTTGCGCCATTCCAACAGCCGATTTCGTAATTTTGGTGCAAGTGCCTTACGTTTAAAAAATGTAAGTCATGCAAAACCAATAACTCTTCTAATAGCGTTGCTGCACGACTACACGAAAACAAAACAGAAAAAACCATTAACAGAAATAATGGGGATTAAATTTAAATAAAAAGCAGGCGACTTTCGCTGTGAAAATTTTATGTTTCATAAAATCGCCCACGTTCCCAGTGAAACGTGATTATTCTACAGAAACCATTGATTAAGTTTCCTATTTTTTTTTCTACCGGAATTCGCCCGCTTCAAATATTGGCCAAATATTGAATTTGTAACTTAATCGTTTAAGAGGTTTTATTAATAGTTGCCAACCACTGAATGGTGTCTCAATTTACTCGTCTCCGAGAGAATTTATGAACTGGAAAAAGGAAGTGCCTTTCTACGTACTTATTGCATTTAGGTCAAGCTGATTTCGCAAATTAACCTTTGAGTGTTATTAGTTCCTTCCAATGTGTCATTTCGGAAGCGGTTTAATAAAACGTGACAGACTTTTCCTTGCGTACTTTCTCATGATTCCCAACCCCTGTCCAGTACAGTCCTAATCTTTTATTACATCCTTAATTTTACTTGATATTTTCTACACATATCAAGGTTTTATTAAGTTATCCACATGCAACCACAGAAAACAATTCCCAAACAAGGAGGAATGGTATCCAGTTATTACCAAACCTAATCAGAAGAGGAGGTTCATTCAACATCAATCACATGCGTATACGTAACTTTGTCAAAATCCTACACATGAATATGTGTAATTAAAGAAAGTGATACCTGCATACTGACCATCATGAAGGGGGTCAATTGTGTGAATCATGAGTTGAAGGAGACCGTGCCTAAACTTGGCACCCGTATGGTGTCCACTCGACGTTGGAACTTGCGGCGTTTCTGAGGCAGTTCGCGACGTAACACTTCCTCCAGGCTGAGTGCCTACGCTGGTTTCACTAGACGTCGCTACTGTTCCATGCTGAAAAAGAAGGAAGATATGATTAGTATGTTGTTTCTATAGTAGGGTTGGCTGAACATAAAACATTCCACATGAAACAGTTATGGAAACGTAAATTGCACACAATTATCCTTCATCAACTCAATCAGTTCCGTTAGAACATTACTATTATCACACTAAATGCTTAATTAGGGGGCAGCAAGTACCGCGTTGTTCAAGATTTTTTATCTTGCTAATACAACGATGTACGGCACACAAAAAAAAAACAAAAGTTGGAAACTGTTGATTTCAACAGGATGGTGCACCCGCGCACAACGCCATAATCGTGGCCAGGTGCACCATTCTGCTGAAACCAATCGTTGCAATTTTTGTTTTTTTTTTGTATGCCATACATCGTGGTATTAGTAATAATACAATGCTACTCAATACAGGGTGTACCTAAAAAAAATGAAGTTGATGGTGATCTCTTCGAAACGAAACGTATTGAAAATCTCTCTATGCTATCTTGTAGACCTCAAATAGTGGCAATAAGAAAGTGTTTGACCATCATCGTATCTTCTATGGTTTCGGAGATCTCCACGATAGACATCCTTATCTTGAACACAGTGAATATTATTTTTATGAAATTTATTTTTTAACCCAAAAGAACATTTTCTAACCCAGATCGTAGGAAATAAGTGCGATCCGAAATAATTGGTGTGATGTGCACCCTACAAAGTCCTTCAATGAGCACACCCTCGGCCCTCTAATTCGCTAAATAGGATAGAGGCACAACGAGAGCTCAAAATGGAGATAAATATTTGATGTTTCAGCCCTTCAAGTGCTTTCATATTTTAGCCTGAAGCCAACGACTTTTTACTCCTCGGTAGTTATTTTGAACAATCTAAATAACAGTAAAAAAGCGACCTAGTGTAGTCGCATACAAATCGCCATCCGTTGGCACTTACAGTGAATCCCTTTTGTGTACGATAAATTATAACAATATAGTGAAAATGAGATCCTAGATTATTATTCACACCCTCTGCCTGATTGGCTGTACCTAATTCTCGCTAAGCCATTTTAGTTATAAGCTGAGATTACATTTTAACTGATGTTCATAGAGGTAGAAATATCTACAAAGCGACTAACGTGGTGTAACCTCTGATTTGTTTGTGTAAACGAAATTGACGTTATTTTTACAGGTGACGAGGGAAAATAAGACATTTACGCGTTTTACTTAGTCAACTATCGATCTCTGTTTGTATAACTGAATTAAATAAAATCCAGGGAAATGCTATTTTGGTCCGCGTGTCGTTCACAGAGCAGAAATATTAACTCGTCATGTCATGTGGAAATAACACTACAATTTGCAAGTAAGATCATCTGAAAACATTCAGCATGATGTGGTACACATAGGGCGATTTACATAATGCAGTGAATGATACCATTTTCCACTAGATAAATGTTTTTTTAGCATGGATCTGGCATTAATTAATTACTACATTTACACCTGCATAATTTGCTATCATTTAAATACGTGATGCCTTTATAATAATACATTTGGCATAGTATTTCATATTAAATTATTTATAGCATTTCCTCTACGTCCGATTAGTGCTCCTTCATATTGCTACGTCCTGTTGTACTGTACTCTTGGTTTGGGTGATTGACTGAATGCACTCTGCGTGTGTTAGAAGTAGTCTTGGTATTGGTAACTCTTTCTCTGTTAACACGTTATGCCATATGTTTTAATTTAATTAGCTATCTTTGCTTTACCTATATCCCAATCCGAAACCCATTCATTAACGGGATACGTAAGTTTGAATTAATTAATTAATTGCTTATTTTTTTACTGTTCTGTTGTGTACCTGCAGATTCTTCGCCAGGATAAGGGTGTTTATATCCACTAGTGCCCGAGGATTTACAAAACTTGTATTATTTTTTATTTTCATTTATTTTGTAGCGTGACTTTTGCCCGCCTGGCGCCCAAAAATTATAAGAGCATCATCAAAACTTCGGTGGTTGTTTCACTGAAAGACCCGTTTTCCCTGGCTAGCCGTGGTTCATTTCCCTTTTCATTCTTGAGATTCCCTGCAATATCTTACTTTGTATATCACGTCCTCAAATTTTTCCTAGCATTGTCTCTGGGAAGAATACAAGATGAGCGATCAGATGGACAAATGAACGGTCGATTTGGCGGACAATGTCTTGGAAATAGAATTAACAAGTTCATTTACATTGACATTGATTCTTGTTTTTTTTTGGAGGATTCCAATGAAACATCCCCGTTTCGCCGTCTGCGACAATCCTCGAAAAACAACTGTCATCGATAGTTACAGCGTCCAAACGCTCCTGACAACTTTCTTTTCTGGTCAGCTTTTGTGAGACGTCGAGAAATCCAACAAGAATAGGTAGATATTGGGAACAGGAATAGAGAAGAGAAAATCAAGAGGACAACAAAGAGGTAGAAGTATTGTTGGAATTGTCAAAAAAGAGAGGATGGAGAATTCTAAACGAAAATATAGAGGGGGATCGAGACGGACAATTTACATACAAGGGAGGAAGAGGAAGATCGGTAATTAATTATACTTTAGTAAATGAAAAAATACTGGATGACATACAAGAATCTAAGACATAGGAGCAAGGATAGAATTGGATCACCGACCGATGGAAATGAGTTTCAATCTGAAGATTAGAAGGCCAAGAAAGGCAAAGATGCAAAAAGAATGGGGAAACAGTTGTGGACAGAGATACTGTGGAGGCTAGATGAACATGGAGAAGAAGTAGGAGGAGTGGAATAGTGGGGAGTATTAAGAAAGCAATAAGGTTGAAAGAAACATTTGAAGGAGAGGAAAGTGATAAAAGAAAGGAATAGTGGGACAGAAAGTGTACAGAAGAAAAAAAAACACATGTAGAGAAATTGCGGAGGAGGAAAGAAGAGAGGAAATAGAGAGGAAGGAGTTGAGATAACAGACAAAAGAAAATGTAAAGAAAAAAAAGATGGAGAAATGGAAAGAATAGGAAGAGCAAATTATGGAGATAAAATCAGAGAAGAATTTTTGGAAGGTGATAAACAGAGAAGAAAAAGAAGAAATAGAACAAAACAAGCGGGAAAAAAATAAATACATTTAGAGCAATGGAAAAAATCATTTTATCAAGGTACTACAAGGAAAGCAAGAGAAAGGGTAGGCTATAGAAAAGATAGAAAAAGGGGAGATAGGAAAATTATAGGGGAATCATGATAATCACAACGGCGCGGCATATGGAAATGGTGAATGAAAGCGAAATAGAATAGGAGGTAACACAGAAAATAAGTCTCTTACCCTCCTTAAAGTGTTACTGGCACTATACCAATTGACAATATCAATTTTTTTCAATTGAATAGATCGCACACGAACAAAAATAAAAATACAAAAACCAAAGCAATAATATTCCAATTAATTAATAATTATGACAGCAAAATTTTGGAATCCTTCTGAAGAGTTTTTGTCATTTAAAACTAGACATAGGGAAGCCAATGCACAAATCCCTATGTCTACTTCTAAATGAATATCACTGTATGTAGGGCGGAAACGTGTTTGCGGTTTTCATGAACTTAATAGCAGCGTTTGACAGAGTGGAAAGGGAAAATATGATGGAAAATGGAAAAATAGACAGGAAGCTAAAGAGTAGAATCAAGGAGTTATATGGAGAGACAACATTGAGAGTATGAATAGAAGGGAAGAAGTCTAAAGTGTTTTGGATTTGTAAAGGACCAAGACAGGGTTGCCCACTTAGCCCAACCTTATTTAATCCCTACTTAATAGACATGGAGAATGAAAATGGAGAAGATAGAAGAAGTCATAGAATATCCAGGGTACCAAATGCAAAGCACAAATAAGACAACGAATGAAGATTATCAGTCCTCGTGTGAGATCCAAGTGACTTGAGTGCATTTTTGTGTAGAAGATTAGTACTCCATTAGCCATCAATAAGATCTTGTCGAAATAGTACTCAATTTCTCATAGTTCGAGGTTTCATTGGTGACACGGAAAGATGGACCGTGTTTTTGGGCGCCTAAGTCGACTAGCCCTCTAAGACGCGGTTAATTTCGCTCCTAGGGAAAAAAAATATAACCCCTCACACAGGAGTAGTTGGCGTTTACTAAAACTTCCGACGACGACAATTTGATAACAATGAGACCAAAACTGTAGAAGAAGGTAAGAAAGAACTGAAAAATCACCATGTAAGTATATCACGCTCGGTGATGGCGCCCAGATGTCGCCGACCCCGGTCCCTAAAATTGTTAATTACACGACCTCATGTACACTCTTCGTCTTTCTACAAGCGTTCTTCTACGGGCCCGCATTTACGGTCAGTGAGATTAAAATCTACCTTTTTAAAAATCAATTTGCAAAAATACGCTAAAAAAGGGGGTGATGTGGAGAACAGGAGAGAGGGGTTTCAAGAATGATTTCAAAACAAGAAATATGTTATGTACGGAACGGAGATATGGGGGTGGAAGGAATCGGATTAACTAGAATTAATACAATGAAGATACTATAGATGCGTATTAAGGCTAAATGGAAGGACACCGAATTGTATATTAGAGGAGGAAATAAAAATGGAGTAGACGCCGCCGAGACGCATGGTGGTAAGGAGTGAAAGACAGAGCGATTTGGTAAAAGAATGCTTGACAACGAGGAATGTGGAAGGAAGGAAGAGAAAAATATTATGAATAGAAAGAAAAGATGGAAAATGAGCTGGCAAAAAGGGACCTGGATGCAAGAGGGTGAAGATAAAAAGCGCGAGAGGAAGTAGTAGTCACAAGGAGTGAGTGGTTACCCAAAATACTTGTAGGAGGGAAGGAAAATATTAAAATAATGGCGAGATTCAGATGTGGAAATGAGGAGAGAGGGAAGGAGTAATGGAGATAAGAAGAAGAGAGAAACTGTAATTCTCTGGAGAGGAAGAAAATGACATAGAACACGTGGTATGGAATTGCAAGGAGGTGGGAAGCAGGAGTGAGGGAAGAGGAAAAGAAAAGAAGAGAAGCATTTTAG